TCCGGTACGGGGGCAACACTGAGGGTTGCGATCCGTTGCCGGACACGGAAAAAAGACAAAAGACAAAAAAAAAAGAAATGGGGGAAGGCAGCCCTGCTTGAAGGCAGAGGGAGGGACAGCAAGACACTTCAACTGTGCAAAAAGCACAGATGAGAGCAGATGCAGCAGCAGCATGGGCGAAAGAGGATCTGTCTCAATCTAAAATAAGCATTTAGAACAAATTTTCCATTATCTGAGAGGCATACTTTTTTGTGCAGCTGGCCCCAGGGCATGCAAGGGTGGTTGAATATGGGCGTGGGGGAAGGCAGTGAGGCAGTAAGCCCTGCAGCTGATGTGATGTGAAAGACCCAGCAACTGCAGAAGAGGAAGAAGTCTAGCCAGCCCTAACAATTATTAAACAAATGAAATATATTTCCATGGACCTCCACCCCTAAAACTCCATACAACACAGAACCTTAGGGTTAGACAGGGACTGTGGAGCTTCTAAACAAATCACAAAAAGTTTCCCTTCTCATGCCACCCCTTCTCCTTAACTGCCCTTACCATAATGTCTTACCTGGACAGAGATGCTCCCCTATACCATCTGCATTAATCCTCGCAGTACCCCGCTCTCAATACAGAAAGCAGGAAGGCCACTGAAGATCTGGGATGAAGCCATCATGTTCTTTAAACTTAAATCCTCACCAACCTGCTGAGGAAACTTACTCCCCTGAAGCGCAATCTATGGACTATTTAGAATAGATCCATGATTCACTGCGGAAAAATGCAGCGTTGGATCTGCTGTGTGTTTACATAGACTCAGATTCAGTGACACCAAATTAGCTCTACCATCAGGATCACCTCGGAGTCATCCCAGGAGATGGGGCATGTCCCAGCTCTCATCCATTCCCAAGACCAATTAGGCCTTTGATGCCCTCGGCTGTTCCCGGCTTGTCACTCATAGACTGATTCTTACGTTTTCTGTATTTTTAACTGAGTAGATAAAAATGTTTGTAAAAGATGTGAAGATATAAAGAATAATAATGCACTGTACACTTTTGTATCCTCACACAGTTGAAGAAACAGAATAATTACCTTAATCCTTGAAGTACCATGTGGGTACCTGTCTGATCACGTCATCTTCCCTCCCGTCATCAACAGCCACCATCCTCATCTTGTATATCACTCCTTTTGTTTTATAGTTGTAGTAATTTTGCACCTTTTGAACTTTTAGTAAGTGAGATCATACTGTATTTATTGTTCTGAGATGACGACTTCTTCTTTTTCTCTTTCTTCAACTCAGCAGGATGTTTCTGAGATTGAACCTGATGTCCTATGCAGATACAGTTAACTAATTTTCATTGCTGTGATGTATTCCATCATGTGATTATGTCACAAATTATTTTACTGGCAGTGAACATGTGAGTTATTTTCAGGATTTTGCTATTAAAAGTTGTGTATCTGTACATGTACATAACTTGCAAGTATAAGAGTTTCTCTAAGATACATATATGAGTGCAATTTTCTTATTGACTTATACAAGTCCTTATACGTTCTAAACATAAATTCTTTGTCAATTATATGTGTTGCAAGTATTTTTCAATTTGTGGCTTGTCTTTTCACTTTATGTGTTTTTAAGATCACTTTACTGAGACATAATGACACACACAGAATACATATAATGAAATTGTACAGTTTGATAAATTTTGACAAATGCATGAAACCATAACCACAATCAAGTTAACAGATAAATCACTCTTGAAAATTTGCTTGCACACTTTTATAGCCTTTTCCTCCTTATCCACCTTCCTTAGGCAACCAATAATCTGCTTTATGTCACTATCATTTGGATCACACTTCCTGAAATTTTTTTGTAAATAGAATTATACTGTATGTGCTCTTTCTGTCTGGCTTTTTTTGCTACATATGATTATTTTCAGATTCATCCCTATTGTGTCTATCAAGAGTTCTTTCCACTTTTTTGCAGAGTAATATTCTACTGTGTGGCTATACCATACTTTATTCATTCCCCTGTTGATTGCCATCGTTT